ATTGTTGTTTGGCGGGTCCGGGCTGGGGATTCGAACCTGCCACCTTAGGTGTACGTGGCTGGCGCCTTAGCCGGTTGAGCTATAGGCGCCGAGCCCACCAACAACTTTTAAACCTTGCTAATCTAACAAAAACCAGTATTCCATGGTTATTTTACTTTGCCTTTTTATAATTACCAGTGATGGTGACAGATTTTCATATGTTTATTGGCTGTCTATATTTGTCTTTCTTTGTTTTTGTTTTTTAAACAGAGTCGCACTTTCTTGTCCCTGGTAGAGGGATGTGGCAGCATAGCTCACAACAACTCAAACTCTTGGGCTCAAGTGATCCTCTTGTTTCAGCCTCCCAAGTAGCTGGGACTACAGGCACCCGCCACAATGCCTGGCTAGTTTTTCTATTTTTAGTAGAGACAGGGTCTCGCTCTTGCTCAGACTGATCTTGAACTTATGAGCTCAAGTGATCCACTCACCTCGGCCTCCCAGAGTGATGGGATTACAGCTGTGAATCACCACACCCAGCCCTGTATTTGTCTTTCTTTGAATTGTCTATTCAAACCCACTGTCTACTGGGAATATTATTTATTCCCTTTAATGTTATTTAGGAACTGTTTACATATTAATGAAGATGATCAACCCTTTGTCACACATAATACAAATAATTTAAAGCAAATATCTACTATAACTAACCATTTCGATTTATTAAATATTTCATAAAAATCTTCTAAGCAAAAATTAAACAATGTAGGATAGTTTCATCACCCATATTCAACTAAGAGCTCCTTGCTGGTGTCGACTATGCTCTTATACCTCCCTGTGTCCTCCACACTGTATATCCTATTATACAGTGCCCTATACAGGATAAGTTTAGCCTGTCATGTGTCCTGTACACAACACAGCAGGTGTTCCATTTGTGCTAAATGCAGGAGCAAATGAATGGACCCCTGGGTCCATTCATTCAATGAATGAATGAATGTACACAGGGCTGGGCAAAGGTGTGGCTCTGGAAGGCAGCTGCTGTCCCTCCAAGTCTTGGGACTCCTCTGACCTCTTTGGTGTGGACCAGTACCTCATGAGAAACACTGTGAAAGGTTCTACATCTCATGAGGACCTCGCCTGTCTGAACTGTCTCAGCCTCAAACCCAGAGGTTTGAGCAAACAGCCATCCTAAGCTTGGTGGGCATTGCTTTTCTACTTGGTGAGGTTTGCAAGGCTGAGGGTCAGGTGTTAGAGAAGAGGGAGCCTGCAGGGGAGAGCTGGGGTGGCCACTGCCCTTCTGTGTGCCCTTACCATGCAGATGAGGTTGTCCCAGTACTCTCCCCACATGTTTGCACAGGCTGTAATGTCAATGCTCAGCCGCTGGTAGGCCCCCAGCATGCCCTGGGAAATGTGGGGAAAGAAGGCAGCTCCTTTCCCATGAGACAACATGCTTTCCATAAAATCTGAGGAGAAATTGGGAGAGGGGGATTCAGGGCCCTGGGGTTGGTAGTGAAGTGCAAACTCTCAGGTGATAGCAAAGCACTACCCTAGGGAAGCTACCCTAGCCTTCTCCTAAGGCTAAACTTATCTTCTTCTTAGGAGTACAAAACCCAGAGGCCAGCTAGCTGTTCAGGACCCTACTTGGCCAGCCTCTTGTCTCCTAGTGGGCCATGCCCCAGTGGGAGCCCTCCCTCATGAGCCATCATTCATCCCATATCAAACCCAGGCCTTGTGTATGAGCCTATGTCCTAGTAGGGAAATGGCCTCAGTTAAGAGAAGGGCACTGTAAGGTGGAGCCCCTTGGCCATCTGGGGTCCTTGCTGGGAAAGACACTGAGAGGAGTCTGGGGTTCTGATCCCCTTCTCCCTTCTCTGGAAGCTGCTTGTCTACATCCTCAGTAGGTCATGTCAAATTCAACTCTGACTGTTGCCTGGGCCCAGCAGCCCCACCCTGGTAGCTCTTACCCCGCTGCTCTCGCTTGGCCAAGAGCTCTTGGATCCGTACTGTCTTTAGCCAGGCAGGAGGCATGTCAGGGCTTTACAAATGCAGATGCAGAAACAGTATTAAGGAAGCCAATCTTGTCCTAAGACCTACCAAGCCATGTTCTGTGGCAGCCAGCATTCCACAAAGTGCCCAACAGAGGAAGGTGGCTCTACCTGCTCCTCCCAGGGGAAAGCTGGTCAGGTATTTTCTCCACCCCCTTCTCTGGTCTTTGCTCCCATAGTAGCCCACCACCTGGAGCATCCTAGCTGCAGGCCACCCATCAGCTGCAGGCATTGCCCCCCAAGAAACCGGGAGGACTCCAGGCTCTGTGCTCCAGTTATCCCTGATTACAAACACAGCCCAGATTCCCCATCTCTAGCCCATACTTCAGCAACAGGCCTATTTCCAGTCTTTCCTGCTGACATCTGTCATCAGGTACACACTAGCTTTTGGGAGTGGAAAGTTAATGGCTTAAAAACTGTTCAGGGGTCTCCCACCACTCAGGCAGTGGTGTTGAAGTTAGGCTCTCCTGCCTCAGGAGGTTAGATGGTGGGCTCTCCAACATGGTCTTGACACTCCAGAAAAAAATGTTTTACAGTATTTGCTAATTTCTTTGGTGTAAATACTTTCACCGTGGCTGATTTCAAGTGACACCCTTGCAAAATGCCTGAATATTTACTGATTGGCTCTCCTGACACTGCTGCCCACCTCTCAGACTGTAGGTGGGCCTAGTACTGGCTGAGCGGGCACACCACTGTGAGTGTATATGTACATATGTTGTGTTGTTGTATGAATACATGTATGTGTATATGCATCTGGGTGAGTGCATATGCACGTGTGCATGTGTGTGTGCTTGTGTGTATGCAGTGCGTGTGCATGCGTGTGTATGCATGTGTGTGTTATGTGTGTGAGAGAGTAAGCAGTGTTCTAGGTCTTGCCTCTGCCCTTGACCACAGAGCTAATGTTGGTCTTTTTTTCTTGAGACAGAGCCTCAAGCTGTCCCCCTGGGTAGAGTGCCGTGGCTTTACTGCTCACAGCAACCTCCAACTCCTGGGCTCAAGCGAGTCTCCTGCCTCCGCCTCCCAAGTAGCTGGGACCACAGGCGCCCACCACAACGCCCGGCTATTTTTTTTTTTTGGTTGCAGCCATCATTGTTGTTTGGCGGGTCCGAGCTAGATTCAAACCTGCCACCTTAGTTGTATGTGGCTGGCATTTTAGCCGCTTGAGCCACAGGCGCCGAGCCGCTAATGTTGGTCTTATCTAGGGGGCATCTCTTTCCTTCTCACTTCTCCACATGAGCCCAGGCACACTATTCAATGCTCCCTGAATACTCTGTGCTCCTGAACACTCACTCCCACACCTTTGCCTGCATATTTCCCTCGACCTACAGTAATATCTTCCTCACTTACAGGCCCCTCTGGCCTGGTCTAACACAAACCTTTCACTCTGGCAGCCCAGGCTGAGGAGAAGGGGCTGCGCTCCCAGCCTTTCCCATGGACAACCTAGGGTCTGAGAGGTGGGCAGCAAGCACAATTTCCTCTCTACATTTCCACATGTTCACCTGTGAGAACACAAAGTCCCACCTCTTGCACTGACCAGCCTCTGGCCACCTAAGCCACACATCTGCCCTGGGAAATGCCTATGAAAGAAATAAGACTTACAGGCTGGTATTTTTGCTCAGGCTATTCTGGGGGCTGCCAAAGTACTCAAATTTGAGGGAGAAGAAGATCTGTATTGGGGAGCAGTTGGTGAGGATGAGCTGACAATTCACATGGGTCCTCAGTGGCACTGTTGAGCCAAAGTCCAGGCAGAGCTTATTCAGGTCACCTGGCCACTCCTGTGTGCTGGAAACACCATGAAGCACTATGTTACATGCCCCCTTGGCCCTGCCCAGAGAGCCACCTAAGGTGAGGGTGCAGAAGCTGCCTGGACATTAGGCTTTATCCTTGGACTCCCTCCTCCCCACCCATGACACTGAGAGAAGACCCAAACTCTGCACAAACTGTCCTTGGTCAGTTGCATGTCTCCCAGTTGCTGGGCTTCCTGTGGGAAAGCCCAAGGTGCCTGTATCATGTGCCCTGCCATTTCTTATCTGCCTGGACACCATGCCTCCAAATGTGGGGAGAGAGCACAAAGAGGGCAGGGATGGGGTAAAGGGATCTGTTCCCATAGAAGTGTTAAGAGGCTGCAATAACACTGTGTCCTTTTCCTCAGTCCCCAGGCCCTGCCCCAGCCCTGGCTCACCTGCTATTAGAGCCTTCCATAGAGATGGTGATGGCCACCTGCAGTCCCTTGGACTTCCCAGAAATGCCTAGGACCAGTGGCTTCTTCATGCCTGACACGTAACAAGGGAGGGCCAGATTGGTCAGCTCTTCCTACAAGAAAGCCCATCCAGGGTTAAGACCCAGAGTTGGGAACTCTGAAGATGAGCCCAGATAGACTTCCAAGAGGAGGCTGGATTGGCACCCGTAGCACAAGGCTGTCAGGTTCAAACCTAGCCCGGGCCAGCTAAACAACAATGACAACTGCAATAAAAAATGGCCAGGCACTATGGCGGGTGCCTGTAGTCCCAGCTACTTGGAAGGCTGAGGCAAGAGAATTGCTTAAGCCCAAGAGTTTGAGGTTGCTGTGAGCTATGACACCATAGC